CCACGCTTCTGCTGCGAGGAAAGGCCTGGAAACAGCACCTTGCAGAGCGACCCGTGGGAGAGCGGGAAGCAAGTGTGTGGGCAGCTCCTCGGCCCTCGCACCAACAGACCACATGGGGCAATGCAGTTTTGAGAGAATTGAGGAAATGTGAATATGCAAATACTAATTTTGTGATAATGACATAGTTGTTATATAAGAAAAGATGTGTTTATCCATTAAAAAAATAAGCACAGTCTCACGGACAGAGAAGAGAGGTATTTTGACTTCCGCTTGGGGAAGCTCCCGGGGGTGGTGTGGCCGAGGTGGAGACGGGAACCAGCGCGGGCAGGGTTGGGGGACGGGGTACCCCAGGGTGGCGGGTGTCCCAGGGCAGGGCCCAGTGCGCCTCCCGTATGGGCTCCTCCGAGAACCCAGAGTCCCACCTGTGCCTGGGCCGGCCGGCCGGGAGGCCTCAGAGCTGCCTAGACGGCCTGCTGTCTGGAGCCGCCCCTCAGGGGGACAGACCTGCCCAGACAGCCATGCCCCAAATAATGGACGGAGACAGCAGGAGCTCACCAGGAGCTGGAGCTTCCTGCAGGAGCTGTGGGGTTCCGCCTGCGGGAGGTGGGACCAGCCACCGGCCTCACCTTGGGTGCCGTGAGCAGCCCGGAGGGAGGCGTCCAGGGGCCAGTCAGACACGGCTGGAGGCCAGGGCCGCAGCCAGAGGCGTGGGACCACTGTTGCTGCAGTGAGGGTGTGCATGAGACCGCCAGGCCCAAAGAGAAGGGTGAAGCTCTCCTGCCCAGAATGTTCTGTGGCCTCCCATCCACACCAAAAGCTAAGACTCACTTAAAATTTTTATTTGAACTAGTTTTAAATGTAATAACATATACATAACATACAATTTACCTTCTTAACCATTTTTAAGTGTCTAGTTCAGTGGCATTAAGTACATTCACATTGTTGTGCAACTATCACCGCCATCCATTTCCAGAAATTTCTCATCTTCCCAGCTGAAACTCTGTCCTCATCAAACACAACTCCCCACGCCCACCACCTCCAGCCCTGGCAGCCGCCATTCCACTTTCTGTCTCTGATTCTGACTACCCTAGGTACCTCACATCAGTGGAGTCACAGTATTTGTCCTTTCCTGACTGGTTTATTTCACTTAGCATAACGCCCTTAAGGTTCATTCATGTCACAGCAGGTGTCAGAATTACCTTCCTTTTTAATGCTGAATAATATTCCATGGGATGTATAGACCACATTGTGTTTAGTCCTTTATCCATTGATGGGCACTGGGACTGCTTCCCCCTGTTGGCTGTTGTGGATGCTGCTGCTATGAACATGGTGTACAGATGTCTCTTCAAGACCCTGCTTTCAATTCCTTTGGATTTATACCCAGAGGTGGCATTGCTGGGTCATATGGTAGTTCCATGTTCAGTTTTTTAAGGAGCCTCCATACTGTTTTCCACAGCAGCTGCACCATTTCACTTGCCAACCAACAGTGGACAAGGGTTCAATTTCTTCATATCCTTGTGATGCTTGTAAGCTCAAACTCTTTATGATCCTACCTCTACCTAAGCTGGATGGAGCTGGGGGTGGATGATTGGGAGGCTGGTGAGAAAGGAGGAGAAGTGAATTGCTGGTGGAAGTGAGTGGACAACGATGGATGATGTCAATGGGATGAGCTGGTGGGTGGGCAGGATTAGGGGGACAGTGGGTGGGAGGGTGGGTGGGTGTGTGGTGGTCGAGGGGCTGGAGGAAGAGATGGTATCACTCAGACTGGTGGAGCCCAGGAAGCCAGGCTACCCCACGTGCACCTCCAGCCGCAGAGGTCTCCACTTCAGTCCTCTTATGAAACATACTTCTAGCTTAGGGACCAGAATGCACCATCATCCAATCTGTGCTGGAGTCAATTGCCCCTCCCGGCCAGAGATGTGGAACTGCCTCCTGGTGCTCCCTGGCCTGCCCTACCTGCCACTGGGCAGGGCTCACTGGTATCATGAATAGCCTTGAGCCATCTCCCCCTCAGCTGAGGTCACACAGGCAGAGGAAGCTGGGTGGGAGACAGGACTCAGGCATTTTTTGTGCATTCAAAGTGGGCAGTCAGCAGTTAATTATGAGCCCCCAGGAAGAGACTGGGTCATGGTAGAGATACCCCAGGCACCTCCGACAATCCCTTCCTGCCCCTAGGGTCCTGCACACAGACACAGGCAGAGCTCACAAAGGGCACGGGACTCCCTCCTCCACGTATGCACAGTTCCATACAATCTGCAAAACCCTGAGGTGCAGGTGCACCGACTCCACCTTCCATTGCCCATGTGACCTGGGTCCGGCCGATAAGAGCACCTCATCCTTTGGGCCAGAATGATTGGTTCAAATAGAGACATGTGCCCCAAAGTTGGCCAATGAAATCCCTACCTAGACACGTGCCGACCAAAGGCACTCTCTTTCGCGGTGGTTGACAAGCTGGTGAGCCTAGCTGCTGACAGCCATAAGTGTCCCCCACTCGGGAAGAGCTTGTCTCAGAATGAAGCTCATGAATGAAGGAGAAAGACAGATTCCTCATGACCTCATGGAGCCCCTGGATGCAGCCAAGCCTGAAGCTAGATGCGCCCTTGGACTTTTCTATTGCATGAGCCAAACAGTTCCCTTGTCATTGCTCCAGACAGTTTAGGTTACATTTCTGTCCTTTATAATGGAGAGGACACCGAGCCAGGACACATGCTCAGGTATTGCTCAGGGTGGTCTTCAACTGGACACAGCAATGATGGCTGGGAGGTCATTTCCTCAAACACACCCCAAGTTGGCAGATAACCTGAGCTTGAATCCTGGCTCCATGTGCCACCCACCCAGCTGTCTTGTTGCTGCTGGGTCTCCAGGAAGGTCCCAGAGGGCCGAGGTCCTTCAGGGACGCCTGCAGGAGCCTCCCAAGTGGCCTTCACCCCTCTAATCCCATGGCCCCCAAATGCCAATCAGCCCACCCTCCTGGCTTCCTGTGGAGCTCAGGACGAGCCCCTGCTCCTCCCCGGCCTGAGCCCCCTCATGCAGCGAACGGCCCTCAGCCTCAGGCCTCTGCTCTCCTCTCACGCTGTCCACCGGCTCCTCGCCAGTGCCTCACGCGGTCATTCCACCCCAGGCAACACGCTCCCCCTAACATCCCCGCACATCCCCATGGCGGCTCCCTCTCACCCCTCAGGCCTCCTTGCCCCTGCCCAGATGGACAGCCCTCCCTTGTCCCCTGGCTGCCGTAGCACTTTCCTCGCGGCACCTGTGGGTGGCCTGGCCAGTCACTCCATCCTTGCTCCGTCCGCTGCCCTGGCACCAGGCTCAGCACAGGGCTCAGCACACAGAAGTGGTCATTGGACATGCTGGATAGCAAGCCGGCCTCCCCCTCTGCCACTTCAGACACCCCCACCACACGCCCGGCTGGGAGCAGCCGGCAAGCCCGGGTGTGACCAGCTGTTGGTTCTAATGCCCTTGAGGAGTCCACGTGCGCAGCAATCAGCAGGCGCCTGCCACCCTCCCGCCAGCGCTGGCGGTCTAATTGCACTTGATCACCGTGCCGTGAGGCTGACGGCGGCTCAGGTGTCGCCCGCTTTCAGGCTGCCGGGGGTGGAGCCCCCAGCAGCCTAACGAGGGTAATTGAGGCAGGGCTGATTGTGCCGGGAAGCTGGAGGGGACTCAGCCGTGAGAACAGGCCACGTCACATTCCAAACAGGACCGCATTTGCTAAATTTGTTTCCGATGCAATTTCACGGTGATTGCACTGATTTCTTTTTAGTAATTGAGCTTGGTGCTGAGCTTGGTGCCTACAGCTACGGCTGTGAGGACGGGCCATGCTGGAGCAGGCGGTGTGGACCACTGTCACAGCCCTCGGGACGGAGCGTGGGCAGGAAGGCAGGTGGAGCGCCTGCAGCTCTCTGGGAACCTCCCTCCTGATACGATGGGCCTTTCAGTCCAGCTCTGCCACCACCCCCTGTGCAGCCTCGGGCAACACCTGTGTGCCCCTCGGCGCCTGTCTGTTGAGGATCATAACAGGCCTCACAGAAGCCCAAACCAGTCCATTCACCAGCTGTGCTTGGACGGTGGCCAATCAGCCTCAGTCACTGTCACTGCCTGGGCTTGGCCTGGAGACCGGGGCAGAGGAGGTACACCCTTGGGGATGCGTCATGCCTGCCTCATCCTAAATGATCACATCTGATCCCCACGCCCACCCACAGGAGCAAGAACAGCCATCCCTGTTGGGCCATGAAGGAAACAGGCCCAGAGAGTGGGCCCCTCCCAGAGCCACACGCCAGCAGGGGGCTGCACCAACACCCTTTCCGTCAGAAAAATACTTGTGAAAATTTTCATGGATGGAACAGCATGTCTGCACTGGAAAGGCCAACATTTCCCAAACTGGGTTCCTCACCTGCAAGGCTACCAACAAAAAGAGAGCTCCTGGCTGAGAAAGTCTGGGAAACGCAGCTCCAGCTCCTTGCTATTCAAGGAGCGGTCCCAGGACTACGACCTTGGGTCACCAAAGCACCCAAGCCACACCAGGCCCCCTGGATCAGAATCTGCCTTTTAACAAGGCCCCCAAGAAACCACTGCTCTGAGCCAGGGGTTCACAACCCTGCTGTGCATGAGAACCACCTGGGTACCCTGTGAAAGCACACTGTACAGGCCCAGGGACAACAGGACACTGCGGGGCTCAGGCCTCGGTGTTTTTCAGTCTCAGCCAATGGTTCCAAAGTGTCTCCAAGGCCAAGAGCACCTGGAGGTTCCCAGCACAGGCAAGCACAGCAACCCTGACCGTGGGCAGCAGATGCCAGGGCCTGCTGAGACAGAGGCGGCCGAGAACCCGTGCTGCGGTTGGTTCTGGGTGCTGCTGCTGCTGCTGTGCAGGGTGGACCATGCCGGTGGGCAGCTCTGAGCACCGGGTGTGCCTGTAGTTCTGAGGGCGACCCCCACCTCCTGGCCCCTCGGCCCCCACCCCAGACCCCTCCCAGAAAGGAAAACCCAGAGCCGAGAGCTTTAGCAAAAATGTTTAATCTCTCCTTAATGTGTGTGTGTATTTACAAGTACTAAATCTGAAGAACAGTAAAGTAGGAAATAGTCATCTATTTACAGAATCGGTGAGCGCCCCGTCGGCCACACTGCTCCTGTGGGAGCCACAGCCGCGGGCGCTCAGGCCGGCCGAGCATCTCTCTTCTTTTGGGTGGGGGCTCTGCGGCATTAAAGGACAGCTAACTGTGGGCTTCATCGTAAAAATATCTCTCTCTCTCTAAATATATCTATTCTAGCCTGTGTAGCACCAACTATGTGAGCCACCAGATCCAGAACTGGGAAAAAACCAGGGGGTGCGCTGGGGGCGCTCTGGCTCGGGCACCCAGGGGCCTCTCGCACAGCCTGGCTCCTCAGGCCAGGGGGAAGCAGGCGGGGCCAGCAGCCCTGGGCAGGGGAGTGCAGACAAGCTCGAGGTATATGGAGAGGCCAGGCTCCCAAGCAGGTGTGAGCTGCCCCTGGTCCTCCTGAGACGCGTGGGGGAGGGAAGGGAGGCGCGGCCCGCGCAGGCAGGTGACAGCAGCGCCGTTTGGGCAACTGGGCGTTCTTGCACAGCACCCTGAGCCCTGGAGCTGCAGAGGGGCTTTCGGGACGATCGCACCCACCCTCACTGCGCAGAGCGGGGCTCCGATCCCAGGCTCCTGCTGGGCCCCCACACACCCTCAGGCCAGTGCCAGAGCCCAGGTTGGAGCCCCTGGAAGGAGGACGCCCAGAGGTGACGGTGGGAGGCCTGGGCCAGCGCCTACGGTGCTACAGGGCTGGGAGGAGTGCGGGAACAGCGACAGGAGAGCTCAGAGCCTGTGTCCCCGACCCGCAGGGAGGAAGGGGCGGGCCTGCCGCACGGGTAGGGCAGGCTCAGCGTCAGCTCGGCCAGCTTGCGTGTAAACAGTACTGCTAAAGTGCTTGCTCCTGGCATGGCGCGTGCTCTGCGGAGGACCACACGCCCTGCAGGGCTGGGTGGGCGCCCCTCCTCTGTCCCCACTGGTGGCCTGACAACCGCCCACGTGACAAGGGCGTGAGGAGGGGCCTGGCTCTCTGCAGGGGCCAGGGAGGTCAGGAAGGGGGGCTGGGACTGGAATCGGAAGAGGGCAGCGCAGGGGCTGAGGAGCCCCACCCTCACCAGCGTGGGACTGGAAGAACAGGGGCTTCAGTGGGAAGCCAGCAACCAGGGAAGACTTCGGGGGAAACCGAGGCTTGCACCCCGGCAGGGCCAGGTGGCATCAGAGGGGAGATGGGGGTACACCCGTGGAAGGATCCAGGCCAACCCAGCGGCAACCAAAGACTGCTGACCTCTAGATGGCCCGGCCTGAGCTCTGGCTGCCCAGGGAGGGGGCCCCCCTGCCGCAGTGGACAGGGCCGGCCCGAGCTCCAGCTGGGCGTCTGCAGCAGTGCCCAGGGCCCAGGGTCCCCGCTGCCGGGTTCAGGAGGTTCCTGAGTCTGTCCTCAGACTCCACGCTGCCCCCGCCGCGGAACAGCAGACCTGCTCTCCAGGGGTGTGGCCAGCGCTGCTCAGGGGGCCGGCCACAGTTAGCTGTCCCTTAAAGTCCGTGGGAAACTTTAGTACCATCAAAAAAGGGAACTTGAAGAGGGGACGGGCCGCTTATTTGCTTTCACAAATGACTAATTAATTAAAAAACATAACAAAGGGTCTAACAGCCTCTAGTATTCAACACTTGCAGTTTTAAAAAGATCAAGTCAGACCAAACGCCAGCACAGTCATGCAGGGACCCTTGGCCGCCCCGGGGGAGCAGCTCTCTCCTCTTGTACAGGAAAACGAAAACACGGTGATGACCCAGGTCGAAGGTCCGGGCAGAGGCCTCGGGGCGCTCCACGCGGACACTGCGGCCACCTTCGCCACCGCTGCTTGGAGTTGCTTTCCCACCGCCTCGCTGTTCTTACTCTAAACCGTGTGTGACACCTCTCCTCCTCCAGGCAGCCACACAGGACCCCGCCGGGGCTGGAGCCGCGAAGATATACATATATGTACAGGTGTTTTTAATCAAAACACTCTTCTCTCGTGCTCCGAGGGCAGGGTGGACGGAGCCCGCCTCCAGGCCCTCTGGTCACTGCGTCCCCCACCGAGCCAGACCAGCAGGTGGCCCAGCAAGCTGTCTCTGTTCAACCTAAACACTCGGTCCCCAGTTGTCCCCTGCTCTTGAGGGGCGAGCACGCTGCTGAGAGGCCAGACTGGGAGCACTGGAAGGTGGGCATGGAGAGCAGGGCAGACGGGGAGGGAGCAGGGCGACAGGGCTGCTCTGGAGGCCTCCACGGCTGACCAGCGGGCGCGGGGGGCGGGGGAATAAATAACGGGAATGTGCGCTCCTGACCCACAGCCCCAGGCCCCAGTGGCTCCCAGAGACACAGCCCTGAGGACAGAAAGGGACCTGCGAGTCCTGGAAGTCACCCGGAGCTGTGAGCAGAGCGTCCTGCAGCCCTCCACAGGAGGGAGCTGGGCCTCTCAGGGCGAGGTCGACGTGGCGCTCCGGCCTCCGCGGAGAGCACGCGGTGAATCGGAGGATGGTGGCGGGGCGCAGCAGTGAGGTGGGGTGCCAGACGGAGCAGGTGGCAGCGACGGCTGGGCCTGGGCACTCAGTCTCCTGGGGGCTGCTGGCCGGACCCCGGCCTCAGACTCTGCCCTGGAAGCTGGAAACAGCTGACCCCCTGTAGCCCTTCTCCTAGGCCCTTCCGGCCTCGAGCAGATGGACCAGACTGGCTTCCCCCTTCCCAAAGGGCTCCAGCCTCCCCCAGGGCCTCAGTGTTCACCCTAGCCTCCTGACAAGGCCCCGGCTGCACCCGGGCCCCCAGCCCTGTGGCCAGCAGCTCAGCCGGAGGGGGCTGCAGATGCCGTGGCATCCACACAATGAGGACCGGGCCCACGGGCGGGATGGGGGACAGAGGACGGGGCTGCGCACTGGCCCAGGTGCACGGGTGCTGCACAGCTGGGGCGAGGCTGCCTCCGCGGACCCCCCGGCTGTGGCTGCCGGCTGGCTGGAGGCCACACTGCGGGCTCTTTGCTCGACTCCTGCCGGGCAGTGGCGGCCAGGGGCTCAACTGCTCAGGGCCATTGTGTCCACCACCTGCTCCAGCTTGCTCCGGAGCCGCTGCCGCCGCGCCTGCTCATCCTTCTCCAGGGCCATCAGGATCTGCGGAGGAAGGCGGGGCGTGAGCAGGCCTGGCCAGGGCGCCCACTCACAGCGGACAGGAACACAGAAGCTGGGAGAGGGGCATGCAGTGGGCCTGTACGTGGCAGGGGTGCCAGCACACATCCAGGTGCCATCCCTTCCACTCTCAGCTGAGGGACCCAGTGTGGAGAACGAGTGCCCCCGTCACCACTCCTACTCTTATCCCCAAAACATCAACCCCAGACAGGTCTCTGGTCACAGCCAGGCCTCCTCCACCTGGGTGCCGCGTCCCGGACTGTCAACTGGAGCAGGGCCCGGTCACCCAGGGCGCAGACATGCCATCCCCTACAGTCCCTCCACACCACTCAGCCCACTGCTTGCAGCCCCCAGGAAGCAGGAGCACCGAGCTCCAGGGCTGCCCCCAGCACCCGCGGGCCTCGTGCGCTCTGTCGCTCACGTGCCGTTTCCCGCTGGGGCATCAGCTCCCTGGCACACAGCTTCACTGCCATCGCCCTCGGCCAAGCCCCCTCCAGCCACCGCCGGGCTTCTCCATGCCCTTCACAGCACAGCTCCTCAGAAGCACCCAGTAGCTCCCCTCCGCTCACACGTTAACCCCAGGACAGCAGGCTTTAGTGCCCAGCCCCCGGCCACTCAACTTCCTGCTGCCCATCCAGACCCCGGGGACCAGCCCTGCTTCCTGACACCCTGCCCCTGCTGCCTCTGCCTCTTGGTCCCCTGGGGCTCAGCCCATCCCTTCTCTGCTCCGGACTCACCTCGGGCCATCTCCTCAGTCTCAGCTGAAGGCCTTCCTGTCGGCTGCTGACCCCCATGCCCTGCCCCAGAGCTCACAGCTCCACTCCCCCCAAACTTTAATCAAAGTCCAGGCCAGACGCCCACAGCCTCCTGATCACTCGGCCACAAGTCTGGAGTCGGAGACCACAGCCAGTCAGATGGGCAAGTCCCGCCCCCTCCCAGCCCCGCGGCCTGCAGCACGGTCACGGCCCCTGCCTCCTCCATCCCCTGGAACCAGCAGTCAGATCCTCTGTCTCTAAGCCCTGACGGCCCGTCTCACCCGGGAAAAGCCCACATCCCCGCAGCCTGCACACACAGCGATGGGCCCCTGCCTGGGGCTCGCCGCCCCTCCTCCGGGACGGCTTTTCTTCAAGCCTCATGGCCCCCACAGTCCTGTGGCCAGGCCAACTGTGGCCTCAGGGCATTGGCATGGGGCACACCCATCCCGCTTCTCATGCCCTGTGTCCTCCGTCCAATTCAGCCTGAGTCAGGCCTCCTTCCCCAGACGTCTCAGGAACTGCAGCTCTGCCCACCACATCAGCAGGAAAGATACCAAGACTGTGGAGGGCATCGCGCCCTGCCCTGGAGACGTCCACCCAGCCCAACAAACCCTGTAATGAGCCCTCGGGACCAGTCACTCACCAACCATGTTCTCCACCTTGGGAAGAGCTGCCATGGCTGCCCACGGCCCGGCCAGGGCGGCACAGGCAGGGCTGGCGGCCGGGTGGGGGCAGGTGGCTTTGGGCGGCCCCTGCGCTCACCTCGTCCTTGTACTTGGTGATGTAGGAGTAGATCTCGTGCAGGGCGCTCATGCTGTTGAACTGGCTCAGGTGCAGCCGCGACTGCTCGGCCAGGTAGGCGCTCATGTCCTGGTCGCTGATGGCGGGCATCTTGGCAATGTCAGCGTAATATCTGCAGGCAGGCGGTGGGGTGGGCGTGTGAGCTGGGCCTCAGTGCCTCTGCCTGCTGTCCCGCCCCTCACGCCGGACTCACCTCTCCACCCAGCTCTTGTAGTTGGGGATGTCCTTGGCGTAGAGCAGCTTGTTGGAGGGGGAGTCCTTGCCCAGCTTGTGCTCGGACGTGGAGCAGGAATCCATGAAGGTTTGGGCCACGACTGATAGGCAGGCGTCTGTGATGCTGCTCTTGTGGATGTCGAACACGAACTGCGGGTTCTTGATTACGTTTACCCAGAAGCGCAGGGGCAGGCTGCGGGCAGGCAGGCCAGGCACCCTGTCAGACAGGGCCTCAGGGCCCCTTCCAGGCAGCATGGGAAAGGGGCCAGCCAGCGGCCGTGCAGCCCTCCCAGCTCCGACCTTCATGGTGGCCATGGACTTCCATGCAGATGGGGAAACTGAAGCCCAGCCAGAGCCCTGCTGCCTCCATTGCCCAGCCCCTCCTGGGAGGCCCTCTGAGGGCCACACACTCAGGTCACACATGGGCGTGACGTGCAGACCAGGGGCACTCCCTCGCTCTCAGGCACCCACCACACACAGTCCCAGTCCTCCTAGGCCTGCGTGCTCGCTCACACCCAGGCTGGCTCACCCCGCCCCTGCCCAGGTGGGCCCCAGCAGCAAGCCCAGAAGGGATTTCAGGGGACACAGCCGCACAGAGAGCTGACCTCTGTGCCACCCTCTAAAGCAGTGTCAGCTGGGCTATCCAGCAGTCACTAGCCACACGTGGCTGTTTAAATTTAAATTAAGTAAAATTAAATGAAATTAAAAACTCAGATTCTCAGGTGCACTAGACACACGTCAAATGCTCAGCAGCCACACGCAGCTGGCAGCCACCTCTAGAAAGCACGGATCCAGGATATTCTATCACTGCAGAGCGCTCTCCTAGACAGTGCTGACCTAGATGATGCTACCCCCAAGCCCCATGAAGCCCCCAGCAGAGCCCAGGAGGGGCCTCTCAGGCACTTAATCCCAACCAAAGTCCGCGGACAGCACAAAGGGAGCTGGACACCTAGGGTGGCCCTGGTGATGACCAGGACTGCATCCCAGGTTTGGGGAGACCAACCAGAATGCTGGGTGGGGGGGGTCGGACCATCAAGGGACAGGGAGAAAGACAGAGAGGCACAGGAAGGGGGCTGACGTGGCTGAGGGTACGCTGGCAGGCTCAGGGAGACAGAGACCGGCCAAGTGGTAGCTGTGGGGGGAGGGGAGTGCTGACCTCCCGGGAGGCCACTAGGGTGAGGGCGCTGGGAGTGAGTGCTCCACTATCACCCTCACCACTGCCCTGGCCTGGCCCACCAAGCCTGTTTATCACACAGAAGCCCGTACTCACATGTCTGTGCACAGCCATGTGCACTCACGGACACACGTGTATGCACATGCCTGGACACCCCCCCAGCTCCTTCACTACAGGGGGGTCCTGCAAACTGAAGCAGAGGCTGTGCCCAGGCCCCAGGGAGGGGAGGCAGCAGATGACCCCCGGACGGGCGATCTGGGAAGGCCCATGTGAAGAGGACTGGCCATGGCACGGAGACAGCCTACCCGCGGCCTCTCTCCTTGCCCTCGGAACAGGGCCAGGTCCACCAGGGTCCTGGAGGATGGGCCTCCCGGAGTGCGGCAGCCTCTGGCCTTGCCCGGCTGGTTGTGCCCCCAGTGCCACGCTCCCTGCTCAGAGTGGGGCTGTGCACCCCGCCTCGGGGGCAGCCTTTGCCCTGCCGTCCTGCCCAGCGCCCCGCCACAGTACCAGTTGCTCTTCCAGGTGTGGCGCACATCCGCATCGTGTATCTGGTGCTGGTCGGCCTGCTCGTCCAGGAAGTCGAACATGTACTTGATGGCCAGGGGCAGGGCCGAGCCCCGGTGCGCCGTGCTGAAGATGGTCTCAAAGAGGTCATCCACAAACTTCTGCAGCGTGCCCTGCGGGTGGGCAAGGACAGAGCTCCAGGGGTGCCACCAGGGCATCCCTCGCTTCCTGGGTGACCTAAGCAGCCGGCTGCGCCACCCAGGCCCATGTGGCCATAGGATGAGAGCGAGGACAAGGGGCTTGTTCTGAGCTTAGCTTTCTGAGGCCCACATCTGTCTGTCCTGGCGTCCCTGCCACCTGCCCACCTGGGCCTACCTTGGTGGCCAGCAGCCGCGTCAGGTAGATCTCCGAGACCATCTTGCTGCCGCGGTCGCCCTCTCGCTGGTCCAGGTGGTCATGGTTCTTCACCAAGTGCCACAGCTTGGTGCCACTCTCCAGGTCGGGTGTGATCATGGGCGTGCGCGAGCGCAGGCTGTCGGGGCTGCTGGCTGTGCGCAGCATGCTCTCTGTGGGCACCGTGCCTGTCAGCGGGCACACCTTCCACGTCCAGCACCCGCCCGCCCACCATGGCCCCAGCTGGGTGACCTCAGGCCAGGCAGCTCCCCTGTCTGAGCCTCAGTTTCCTCATCTGAGAGCTGGGTCATCAGCCCCACCTCCTTGGTGGCTGGGGACAGACAGTGGGAGCAGGGAGGTGGCAGAAAGGACAGCTGTGTGCAGGTGTATGCTGGGCAACAGGTGTGGCCTCCAGATTCAAGGGAAGGGCCAAGTGGCTGAGCAATGGGTTGTGTGCAAAGCCCCTCCCAGCCTGCTGCAGCAGGCCCAGGGGAGCTGTCTGTCCAGGCTGGGGGCCCCGACCCGCCCTGTCCTGTTGGGCCCTCACCGTATCTGCTGAGGGACTTGGTGAAGGTGGAAGAGTTGGAGATGTTGTAGGCAGACGTCTGCTTGGGCACCAGGGCTACCGAGGACCCATCTGTCACCTGCAGACAGATGGCCCAGAGACACGTGACCCACCATCAGGGGCCCGGTGACACCCTCAGCCCTCCCTGGTTCTGTGCCTGGAGACTAGTCGCCTCGTCACTCTGAGCCTCAGTTTCCCCACCAGTGTACCTCTCAGGCTGTACGGAGAACCCGATGGGCCAGTGTGAGGCCTGGGACAGTCATGCATGTGACCCCTGCCCCCTTTCTCTCTGACATTTGCTGATCACCCCCAGCTGGGGGCTGGACACCGGCACCCGCAGAGCCCCGGAGCTCCTAGGGAAGAGAGGCTCTGAGCTGCGGCCAGGGGCCCAGGTCTGGGGGTCACCTGGTAGTGAGCCAGCGTGTTCAGCCTCTTCCAGTCGTTGTCGATCTTGGTGGTGACGTCCTCATCCTGCAGGATGATTCGCGCCATGCGGCCCTGGCGCCACTCTGCCAGGAAGGGGAGCGCTGGAGGGATACAGCCGTGTGGCTGCTCCCTCTCTGTCCGGGCCTCTAGCGCCAGGAGGGGAAGGGTGGCCCTGAAGGCCCGGGCCTCCTGGGGGGTCAGTGAAGGCCCTGCACACCAGAACAATGCAGGGACAAGGCTCCTTCCAGCCTGTGGGCAGCTCTGGGCCTGGCTGGGAGCAGGAAGCTGTGGCCCTGCTGTTCAGCCTTGCGCCCTGCTGCTGCCTGCCTCTCTGGCAGCCCTCCACCTGACGTGCTCCCCGACCCTGGGCAACCAGACCACACACAGTTCACTCTGCCTTCAGAGCTCCAGGCCCAGCTGCTTTCAGCCTGGCATTCAAGGCCTCCACAGTGGCCCCTCAGCCTCTCCAGCCACATCCACCATGGGACTCCCAGGCCCCTGACCTGCCCCTCCTCCTCTGGCCCTCCCTAGCTCAGCAGGTACCCCAACCTGTCCAGCTCATGAGGCAGAGCGTCCCCCAAGTCTGACGGTCCAGTCGCCTCTAGGGACATGGAACCCCCCACCTGCCTCCCCTGGGGGGACAGGGCACCGTCCTCAAAGCACTCCCTGCTTCCAGCCCCGCCCACCTCCACCCCAGCAGGAGCAACTTTTCAGAGCCCCGCCTGGATCACAGCCCACTCCTGAAACTCCCCATGGCCTCCACACCCTCCCGACCAGTGTGCAGGGCCCTGCCTGGATGTCCCCAGCCGAGCCCATTGCCTGTGGCCGCCAGACACTGCCCCACTGCCTCAAGCCTTGGCACCCATAGGCCCGACGCCCAGAACCCAGTGCGGCCACACTGCTCACAGTGTGAGCGCTGCCCCAGGCTCACCCAGGTCCATGTCCGCAGCCTTGGGCCGCTGGGAGTAGGGCACGCCCTTGTACACGGCATCCAGCAGCTTCTCTTTGACCTGCGTCACTGTGTCGCAGTTTAGCCCCTTCACCGGCACCTCGGGTGCGTTCTCATTCTCGGGGTTCACACAGTTCAGGGTCTGTGGGCAGGGAGGTGCAGCATGAGCCCGCTTCTCCCGGGAGGCCCGGGGGAGCACAGCGGGGCGGGAAAGGACGCACGCCCCTCACTCACCAGCGTCTTGTAGTCAATCTGCTGCCGGATGAGCTTGTCCTCGCTCAGCGAGTAGCGCGCCTCACCTGTGATGGCGTCGATGGGGCCTTTCTCCATCTGCTGCTTGATGGCGCAGTAGAGCATGAAGAGCGGCTCCCCCGCGCACTCCTGCGCAGGCAGGTGGGCGTCAGGCTGCAGCCAGCACACCAGGGGCTGCCGCCCCCCACCTGCCGCCCCTACGCTTCCCACAAAGAGAAATGAGTGACGTTTCCAAATTCATTGTAGGAGACAAGTAGAATGGTGGCTTCCCAGCGCCCAAGGAAGATTGTTCAAAAGAATGAATAAGTGACCAGTTGCCCATGTGATCATTGATTTGAAAACCCTAATGAGCCCCAGCAAGGAGCGGGGAGCAGATCAGAGAGCACAACGTGGCTAGGGCGTTCACTCCAAAGAACAAGGCCAGTCAGCTCCGGCCCGAAGTCAGCCGAGCGCAGGCCTCAGTGAGAATGCCACCCCAGCCCCCACCCACGGCCTAGGACCCCACTCACTGGAGCCTGACCCAGGCGGCCAACAGGGTGCCAGGGATGAAGCCCAGCATCCTGCCCCACCCCCACAGCCTACAGCGCAGGGCGCCGTAAGCACTAGGTGTGACTGTCGTCTGTCACGAGGCCAACCTGGCTGGGACACCCCCTGCAGGCAGAGGGCTGCCCCTCCCTCTCTTACTCCAGAGCACACAGTGGATGCACTCATGGGTGCAGAGGCACTGACCCAGAGCAGCTAGCAGCAACAATAGGCACAAGAGGCCCAGGAGTCCATGGCCAAGGGCCAGTGGGGTGGCCATCGGTCGCTCGACAGAGGTCTACTCTGCCCGTCTCCTACCACAAGCCCTCTGGCTCCCCACACCGTAGCCATGAAAGCCACCTCCTACTCTTCCAACCACCCAGCATGTCCCCAACCTCAGGGCCTTTGCACCTGCTGTCCCTACAAGCAGAAAACTCTCCCTCAGGTCTTCATTGGCTATTCCAGACTCTACCCAATGTCCCCTCCTTACAAAGGCTCTCCCTGACGCCTGGGCCAAAGCCGCTGGCCCCCACGGCTGGCACAGTGCCCTACTGCCTTCCTGGCTCTTGTCGTCCTTAAACCTTCTTGTTCACTGTGCTGCCATCTGCTCCATGGAGTGGAAGCTGCCTGGAGTGGAAGGCTACATTACACCCCAGTGCCCAGGACAGGGCCTATGCACACACGCGAGGGGCTCCACACAGACTCCGCTGGACAACCAACGCCATGAATGAAGAGGTGTGGAAGGAAAAGGTTCCCGTGGTCACGGCAAAGTGAAGAGAGCTGAAGCCAGAGCGCCCGGTCACCTGCCTTGTGAGGGCCCGCCAGCAGGGGCCATGTCCGGCCTGGGCTTGCTGTATCCCCCCACACAGGAGAGTCCCCACCTGAGCCCGGGCACAGGCTCCTCTGTCATCGCAGCCGCTGGTGGAGTTTAGGAGTGAGTGTGCCCCAAATGGGCAGCATGCTGGCCACCCTGCCTCCTCCCGGGCCCCTGGCTACACATGGCAGCTCTGCCTGGGAACCTGATGCTCCGGGTACCTCGTCAGCATCTGCGGTAACTAAAGAGGCAGGTGCTGAGGAGTGGCCACAAACATAGATCATCCCGAGACCCTTCAACAACATGCTTGTCTTTGAAATTATGTTTCATTTGCAAACTTGTCTTCATTAAGTCAACTGGGAAGGTGGCGAGAAGCGGGTGCGGATCAGGATTCAGAGCCCTTAACAGCTGTCTCTCTTTTTGCAAACGCCATCTGCAGAGCACACTGGGGCGCGGGAGCAGACACGGCCGGGCTCCTAGGCGCGCACCTTGCAGAAGACGAGGCAGCATCACTGAAGGGGAGGGGAGGTTACAGGCCCAAGAAGCTGGGATCCAAACCCAGATGCATCTCCCTCTGTGGCATCCACCCCTGAGAGGCCAAGTGTCCAGAAGACACAGGAGGAGCGGGCTGTCCACTCTCGGCCCCGCCGGCAGGCTCCCCAGGGCCAGCACTGACCCACTCCTACAACGCTGCCCAGACAGTGTGAAGCAGGAAGGCCCAGCACCCAGGACCCGCCTCCCCTCTCCCTCGCTGGGCCTCAGTTCCCTGCAGCGTGAGGTGAGAAGGATAACCTCAGACGCCTCCCAGCGCTAGCTGTGAACGTGCAGAAACCGCCCAGTGGAAAAGGCCGCTCCTCCAGGATAGAGACGGCATGAGAGCTCAAGAGAGCTCGACAGCGACGGCAGGACAAGTGCTCCTCCACGTCACACCCCACAGAAAAGCCACTGCTCAGCCTAACACAGAAGTGATGAAAGATGGACAGTTGTGTTTTTAAAAAATTCTATAATCTACTAAAAAAATCCTGAGAAAGGGGGAGAAGGATAAAAATAGACAATTAAAGAAAAAGTGGCTCATGAAACAAATGCAAAGATGCCCACTGGCTAAAGAAACGGCAGCTAAAGCAACCAACTGCCACTGAGTGCTCACCAAGCTGGCACGAGGGAGAGGGGGCAGAGCCCGGCACCAGGGCCGCCAAAGCGGGGCTCTCAACACTGAAGTGGGGCAACCTGGCAGCATACGTTCCAGCAAAAAAGGAGCGTGCCTGACTCGTGCATCGCTCTTCTGGAATCCACTTCAACACGAACATAGCCACAGGCCAGTGGCTCAGAATGCTGGCTCTGACTGGTCAGGGAGCAGAGGAACGTGAGCTCTCCAAACACCCATCCCAGTGCAGCAGTCGATCAAATGTGCAGCCCCAGACGGGGACATCGTGGCTGTTAAAAAGGAAACAAACGCCTGCAGCCTGACCGCAGAGCCAGCGGGACGCTGCCCGAGGCGGGCGAAGCAGGGTGCGCTGCAAACGGACGGTGCTGCAGAGGGAAATCCTACGAGGAGGAACAGCTGTGGTACTAGGATTTCTTCTGAATGTCAGAAGCACACTCCATTCACGGGTGTTCGCTTCCATTCAGACACCAGCCTGGAGGACACACAGGGACACACTGCTGGTCGCTGTCTGCAGAAGAGGGGTGGGGCTCAGCCCTTATGCCACTCCTGTGTTGTTCAGGCATACTAAAATGAACATGGATTTCTTTTCCAGGTAAGTTTTTTGTTTCTAAAGACAGCAAGGAATGAAAAGGACCTGTGTGGTTTAAAAACAGTTTGTGGCACCCTAAAAAGAAATGAGCCATCAGGTTCTGAAAAGCTTGGGGAAACCCGAAATGCACATCACGCGGGGAAAGGAGCCAAGCTGAGAAGCCGCGGCTGCACGGTCCTAAGCACAGGACGCTCAGGAAAAGGCCAGCCAGGCAGACCGTACAAAGTTCCGTGGGTGTAGGGGTGGGGCTGGGAGGAGGGCCGAACAAGCGGAGTATGGCAGGTTTCTCGGGCAGTGAAGGCACTCCGTGTAACGTTGTAACACTGCATCCCCGTCATCGCACGTGTCCAGACCCCAAGTGCACACCGTTGAGAGTGAACCCGCATGTAAACTATGGACCCGGGGGATCCTGACGCGCCAGTGAGCTTCATCGACTGTGACACGTGCCCCTTGCTGCTGTAGGACATGGGTGGTGACACACCTCCTGCATGTGCGGGGGCAGAGGTATGAGGAAAATCTCTGCACTTTCTGCTCGATTTTGCTGTGAACCTAAAACTGCTCTACAAAGGAAAGGCTATCTTAAAAAACAAAACAAAACAAACACAGCTTGTGGCACAAAGCCTGTGGCTAGTTATGTGGACAGGAGGCGCCTGACCAGGCTCAGGTCCCTCCTTCTGCGGGCATGGGCAGACAGCCCCAGCTTGGCCGCCTCCACACGCGGCCCTGGGTCATCTTGTCCCGCCTAGCAGGTCCCCTCATCTGTACAGCGAGGGGCAACAAGAACTGGGAGGACGGGAGTGCTGAGCAGACCTAAGTGCATCTTGGCCCCGCTCAGCCCCTCTGAGGAAACCCCACTGGGGCCACGATGACAGTGGGCCAGGGGTCAGCTTGGCCCCACGGCTCTCAATGCTCCACCCTCCCCTTCCCTGCTTCCCTCCTTCCTGCTCTCCAGCCAAGCCTCGCCTCCTCCTCCCTCTGTCCACTACGGAACCCTACCCCACCAGGCCCACCGGAAACGTCACCACCCCTCCATGAAGCGGCCTCTGCCCGTGAGCCCGAAGCACAGCCTCCCTGCCTGTGAGGTCCTGCCTCCCCTTGTCTCCACGGCCTGATCCACAGCGTAGCGTCACAAAACACACCCCCAAAGCTGGTCCTCAGACCAGTGTGTCAAGGTGAGGCCCCTCTCTAGGGGTGCAGAACCAGGAACAGACAGGGCTGGGTGCAGCCAGGACGAGCTAGACTCCAGCCGTCTGTGTCCTCTCAGCCTTCCTTCTCATGGATTACAGAGCACAATTCAACGAGTGTGTCAATACACTACAGTCTTCACAGCACTGCATTTTTACAGGAAATGCACAACTTTGGGAAACTGGCTGCCAATCCTGCATAATGATAACGACGTCAGGTTTCGGGACTGCCTTCTCCACACGACATGCCACCTCCACAGTGCACCCCACGGACAAGCAGCCCCGCCGTCCGTCTCCCGGCCCCTCCTCCCTGGACCTCATGCCACCTCAGGGCCTCTGCTCCCTCTGCCTGGATGACTTCTTCCCTTCCTCAGGCTGCTGCTCAAACCTCCCCCACCCCCGGGACCCCCCACCCCTCTGTCTCCTGCCTCATTTCCCACCTACGCCTCTCTCCCCAGCCAGGGCAGGGCTCTGCTCTGGGCACCTCAGCTGCAGCGGCCTGGGCTGAGCAGCATCCTGCAGATGTAGGACTGAAAGCTGCTGCGGTGCCTGATTCAGAACACCAGGAGCTGAGGGTCCACGGCCAAGAAGCAACCACAGCGAGAATGAGACCTAGGCCACCACGCCAGCCCCACCCTCGGCACACAGCCCTAATGCCCGTCACCTCACCCGTCTGCAGAGCATCAACTGGGGGCCATGGATGAACCACACACGCTGGGCTCAACCTGGCAGCCCTGCTACCCGCACCTCACAAGACCGTGGGCCCATCTGCCAAGCCGTCAGATTTTTCAAGCGAAGCCAGACACCCAGGTCAGAACGATCTCCTGGTTTCTAAAGTGCAGGCGACCAGCCCAGTTATTTATACCCCAAACAAATTCCCCCTGAACTCACATTTAGCTTCCACCCCATTATGAGGATGGCCAGGAACCGCCAGGGCCTGCCTTCTGGGGGTCAGGGGCTCTTCCCAGCCTGAGCAGGGGCTTGTCTGAGCAACCATGGAGAAAGCCCAGGTGGCCACCCTCTCTTCCAACGGGGGCCAACAGGAGCCCCTGGCGCCTCCCAGGCTGGCCCAGTGCTGGGTGCAAGACACAGGGAGGCCCCTAAGCAGATGTCCACCTGTGTCCCTAGGTCCCAGCCATTGGCACGGTGTGGAGACGCGGGCCTGTATGCAAACTTCAGCTCGGCTGCATGCTGACTGTGGGACTGAGACGGCTCGCTGTGGGGCTAGGCGTCCACTCCTGTCCCAGCGGCTGGGGGAGGCCTGGACAGCCTCAAGTAGGGAGGAGGAGAGGCGCCACAGTACGTGCGTCCTGGGGAGTTCATGCTGAGACCCTGTCCCCTATTTGAGCCACTCTTGGCTGAGACCCCACGTGCCCACCCCTCTGGTCTCTCGTTCCCCTTGAGCCTGTTCACCTGCCTCTGACAACCCCCTCGGATGTTCTCTCCCCCTTGGCGCCCGCCTACCTTGAGGAATTTGTACAAAAGGAAGGTGAACCAGTTGGTCAGCATCTTTTCCGCCACCGACTCAGTTCTGGGGAAAGAACACGGGCAGGGATGGCGTGATTCCTGCCACCAGGCCCGTCCACCCCGCCCTCCCCACCCTCCTGCACTGCTGAAGGTCAGGCCTGGAAAGGCACCAACAGGTATCAGGCATCTGGGCGGCCCCCACGGAGACCCCAGCTCGTGGCCCCAGGCCTCTGAGCATGACAATGCAGGCCTGGCGCTGACAGATCCTGGAGGAGGCGCCGCCTCGACTGAGTCCCGTGCCCGACAGGTGGGGGTCCCCACTCCTAATGCCTGGTCAGAGGAGGCTGAGCCCTCCCCACAGAGCCACAGCACTGGGGCCTGGGGGCCGGGCACCCAACAAGTCTCCCGCGTGCACAGCCGGAGGTGCGGACCCGCCCGCCCGCCTGCCGCCCACAGGCTCACCGCCGCAGCAGCAGCTTGGGGTGGTTCTTGCTCTCCAAGTTCTTCTCGATGAGGTCAGACAGCAGCTGCTTGAGCACGCCCGTGGCGTACTCCATCTCGCCCTGCAGGGCTGTCATGATGAGCGAGGCCACGTTCCCGCGGTCCCGCATGGAGAAGCTGCGCTGGGCCTCCAGCGTGCGGATGAAGGTCAGCAGGAAGTGCTTCTTGGTCAGCAGCTGCCCGAACAGTGTCAGCGACTTCTCCACGTTGGCCTGCACCTGAGGGGCATGGGCCCGCTCAGACCCACACAGGGGCACGGCCCCGACAGGCGAGGCAGGAGGGGAAGGCCTCTGTCCCAGGGGCTGTCCAAGCCTGGTGTACGTGGCCAGGCCGGACAGCAGACCTTGGAGGTGGGTGACACACTGCCCTGACAGGTCCCTGGGCTTCAACCGTCCTTAGCAGAATGGACGTGGCCTGGCAGCTACCTGAGAAGCCCATCAAGGCAAAGACCGGGAGAGTACCAGTGTTGGGGGGGTACAGGATGAGGTCCTGCCCCTGACACTCTCTCTGTGGCCAAATCCTGGGATTGGCAGCTCCTGCAGCCCAGCTCTAGCAGCTTCAGAGGAAGCCCAACTCAACACCCATCTGCTGGGCACCCCAAGTGCATGTCCATGGTCTCACTCTGCCCTCACAATGACCACTCATACAGAAACCACACTCTCCACTTCACGAAGGACACTGAAGTCCAGAAAGGAGAAGAGGCTTGTCCAGGGCCACGTAGTATAGAGGTGGGGAAAAAAGGGTGGAATGCAGGTGTGGCTGGCTCCAGGGCCTCTGCTACCTGTCTCATCTGAACCAAGGCTTGTCAGGGCAGGAGGTTCCCGACCAGGTTGTACCACAGGCTGCCACAGACACCTGGCAAATGGTCCATGCAGACAGGTGACAGGTCCCAGGTAGAATACAGTCACAGCTAAGAGAGCAGTTAGACCAACACAGCAGACGGCAACATCCAAAGAGAGACCCAACAGAAGGAGGACATGGAGCCCCCAACATGGCAGTAATCCCAGGGAATGCACTGGGTCCAAGCCAGAATGACAGGAAGACCCGCTCACATTCTGCTCAAAAGGGAATGTTCCATCAATGGAGCCACATGGGAGAGTAGGCCCCTCAACATCCAAGGTGAGCAGAGATGGAATGTCCTCACTAGAAAGCATGACAGAGCCAACCTGCCAAGCCCCTGCCTGTTCTTAGCTGCAGGCTGGGTTCCTGGCCTGCCACTGGGGCCCCCTGGAGGACCTGGGGGCCAGCCCTTTTCCCCTCAGCAGGCTCATGCCAACAGCGTGGGTGCTGTCAACATCTGCAGAGCAGAGCCCTGCTCTCCAGAGGCCTCTGTGCTGCGTCAGCCACGTGCTCGCCCCCGACAGCCACACAAGCTCCAGCCAGGTGCCCACACTTCCAGCACGCACAGCAGCTGCCCCTACCTGGGGAAGCTCAGCACCCAGAACCACTCAGGAGCCAGGCCCGGTGAGCTGCAGGTGGTACGTGACGGACCAGAGGGCCCACCATGGCAGAGGTGGGCCCCAAGGAGCCCAGGCTAAAGGTGCTTCACTGGGATGAGGCCTGGCACCCACCCTAGGCCCCGCCCAGGCCCTCCCCACTGCTGCTGAAGTGCTGTCGAGAGCCAAGGGCCCTGCCTCCCAGAGCCCCTCCCGCAGGCTCGGGCCATCTCCCAGGCCCCTCCAGCTGCCCAGCAGCACCCAAGGAGCCCCCGGAGGCCAGCAGCCTACCTCCATCTCCTTGAGCACAGGGTGGTCCTCGATGCCGGGGAAGAGCACCCGCATGGCGTACGTCCGGTAGTCGAGGAATGGGATCCCGGCACCGTCCAGGTCATTGGTCAGCTCGTGGATATCCGTCTGCAGCTCTGCAAAGGCTGTGGCCAGACAGCGTGTCAGGGCAGGCGCCCCGCTGGCCCCCAGCCACCGCTCCTGAGGCCCCAGCCCTCCCACGCTCAGGGCCAAGCTCAAATGCAGACTCTGAACTCACTGGCTGGGTGACCTTAAGGAAACTACTGTGCCCACCTATGCCTCAGTTCCCCCAGACCTAACACGGGGATTAAAAGCTCTCTGTCCCCCTGAGCTGTCGCAGGAATAACTAAGACAAGAGCAGAGAAGGTGGGGGGACTGGGCCGGGCTCAGAAGGGCCTCCCGTATTTCATGCTGGCTTTCAGTAAGGAACGGGCAGTGGCTCCTTCCGCCACCGGGGGCACACGCCACCTGCCCTGGCTACCCTGGCCTCTGCTGTTCGGGAAGAGACAGGATATGGCCAGGGGTGGGAGGCAGCAGGCAGCAGAGCCCCGGGGTCAGGGGACCACAGGCTCTCCCCAAGGCCCTGAGCCCTCCAAGCTGACAACCGCCACACGCACAGCTCAGGGCCTCTGCTCCCTCTCTTATCTGAACCTCAGGCCAGCAGGCCCCTACGCCTCCTGCCCCACTCCAGACAGCCCTGCTTCTTTCAGAAAAAAAGACCGGCAAGGCAGGGTCAGGCCCTGTCGGAACATTCCAAAGCTGTGAGGCGTCAGCCCTGCAGAAGCCCGAGGGATGCGCTATCTGATCAGGAGCCAGAGGAGTGCTGGGCGGGCTCTGTGGGATGCTGGCAGGGTTTTATTAGGGCCGGGGCCTTCGTCTCCTGGCACCACCGCCAGTCATCTGGTCACCTCCACCTGGCTGGCCCTGGAGTGCCCCAGCAGACAACAGCTTCGCGCACATCAGCCTCATGGAGAGTCATCCTCACCCTGACGGAGGCCCTGCCTGCAGAGATCCCCACCTGGTCCCCCACCCAGGCCGCCTGCTCCCACCCAGCCCCCACAGACCTGCCTCCATCCCACCAGGAGTGCCTGCCAGGTGGGCAGGCACTCAGGAACCAAGAGAGCTCCCGGCACGCGAGACTTTGAACTTTAAGACTGGCATGGGCCTGAGCAAATGGACACTCCAGTCCCAATGTGGTCAATAACAAGCTGATGCCAGGCCTGTTATGGGCACAAGGCCGCCACACAGCAGTTCAAACCCCACTGCACCGCTTAGCCCCTTCCTCATCTGAAAACAGGAATGGTCCGCTCAGCCTCAGAGCTGCATGTGCTCATCAGTTGACAACTGCAGGATGCTCAAAGTCAGACCTGGCACTTAAAGAACACTCCAGAGCTGTCAGTCATCCCCAGCGCTGCTCGCTCACCCTGTAACAGCCCCAGACTTCTCAGATGGGGCCCTGAGAGGCGCACGGTGAGCTAGGGACCACAAGCAGGTAGGGGTCGCCCCAGGCTGGCCCAGGCCGTGGGAGCACCCAGTCCCGAGGCGCCACCTCACACCCAGCCAGAGACGCTGGCAGGCTTGATGTTGGCCATCACAGGTCAAGGCTGCTGTCTGCAAACCCTCACGTGGCCACTGTGCAGCCCAAGATCCCTATCCTAGGCCAGCAGGGCGCCCCATGGTCCCTGGCTTCAGCGCCACCTCTGCTGCCAGCACTCAATCCCACCCATCCATCCAGCAGCAGTGCCCGCAGCATGCCAGCAGGTCCTGGAGCATCTGTTCTGCCAAGGACCAGCCGGGGCCTCAGGCACATGGCCTCCTTGTGACACGTCGTAGAGACGGGCAGCCCCTAGGGACACCCTCTGCTCTACCTTGCGGCCCACCACCCTCGCCCTTTCCACTGACCCCTAGGCCACCGATCGCCAACTTCCCACACCTATGGCCATGCCTCCCAGAGCCCATCTCGGTTGCTGGGCACCCACACCAGCCCTAGGGACCACCCACTTTCAGTCAGGGGCTTCAGGGCACAGGCTTGGGGAGCATCAGGGATGGGCCAGAGCTGGGCCCAGCAAGGCAGCAGAGCACATCCACTGTGGCCATCTTATCACCACAAGGAAAGAGGAGCCACAAGACGAAGGGATTCCCAAAGACAGAGTGGATGGCACTTCCGTTCCGGCCGCGCCCACACTTCATCTGCGCAGAAGCCACATGGCACCCCACTGAGGCCGTCTCAGCCAACACCTGCCAGTTCTGCTCCAGGGCCCGACACACCCAGGCCCCAGCTTGAGAGGACGGGCTGCGGTCTGACTCTGAGACACAGCTCCTCAAAGACAAACGCTAGCCCATGCTGAGTGGTGTGTGCGCTGAGCAACTGCAGCGAGGGCCCCACTCCTAGGCACCACTGGCTGCACGCCACACAGGCAGCACGCACCACACCCCACACCTCTGCACACGCCGTCTGGATCACCATCATGACAACCAGTGAAGCAGGCAGCCTCACTGTGCACGTCCCACAGGCGAGGAGGCTGAAGATGTGACGCGCCCACCCAAGGACCCAAGCTGGCACACAAATGCGGGCGCTCTGGCTCCAGAGTCTATGTCACAAGCAGCACCCCACACTGTACCCACCCTGGGCCCCAGAGCTGCAGGCCCCAGTCAGGCCCCGCCCACCTCCCTGAGACCAAGCCCAGCCAAGGGAGGCCTCCGAGAACACGTAAACCAAGCAGAGTCGGGAGGCCGGAGGGGGCCTAGCTCCGAGGGGCCCTGTACCCCACGCCCACAGCCCCGCCAGACCTTCCTTGCACTCGAGGGCCACGCGGGACTCCAGGTTGTCCATCTGGAGCTGCAGCCGCTTGAGGGTGCGGTCAGCATCACGTGACTTGCGCTTGTAGGCGATGAGCACAGCCACGATGACCAGCAGCAGGAGGCCCCCGCCCCCACCGATGCCCACGATGGCGGGCAGGGTCAGCAGGCTGTCGGAGTACACCTGCAGCGTGCCCGGTGAGAACTCAAAGCCACCGGCCCGCACCTGGGGGCAGAGGCACAGGCCACTCAGGAGATGCAGTGCCCACCTGGAGCTCTGGAGCCCCATGGCCCACGACCCTCAAGACCCCCGCAGCACTGCTCCTGGCCTGGAGTTGATGTTCAGCAGGGGTGGGGACACTGGGACCCAGGGGAGGCACTGGGCCTGCCAGGGGACACCACGGCCGAGTTGGGGCTCTCTCTCAGCCAAAAGCAAGTCTGGGGCTTGATCACAGAGGTGGGGTTGCCCTGGGTGGGGCAGGGTCAGTAGGTCAAAGGTGGGAGGGGCATAGGAGACCAGAGCTGGGGCATGGGCCACCGGGCCATGGACGCACCGTGACCTTGTGCTGCCCGGTGAGGTTGGGCGACTCGCAGAGCAGCTGCGTCTCCGACACGGTGAGGGCGCACGGTGTGGAGCCGATGAGCACTGTGTAGTTGAGCCTCGAGTTGCCGGGCGCGGGTGGCAGGAGGTTCCGGCCCTGAGGGGGATGAGGGTGAGCCAGAGAGCCCCCAAAAGGGTGCCTGCCCCCAGAGGGCTCTGCCCGGCTGACTGGGCGCACCTTGAGGATGAGCGGAGAGCTCGGCTTCAGCTCCAGGAGGCCCGTGGGGCTGAGCGGCTCCAGCACGGGGTCAGGGTAGTAGAGGAAAGAGGAGGCGTTGAGCACGAGCAGCGAGCGCACGTCGTCCATGATGAAGCCCAGCTCATCAGGCCGTTCCCCCAGCTCAGGCGGGCTGCGGGCAGGGTTGTCCACCGACGGGGCCCGGCACACCATGGTGGTGTCGTTGTACACCAGGCAGCTCTGGGGACACAGTCAGCAGGACACTCGGCCAGCTGCTCGCCGTGAGGGGCCAGGTACCACGGCAGAGGTACCGACAGGGCAGGGCTGTAGCCACACCTGCACGTGGGGCCCCACCCAGCCGACCAGAGCCGGCTTCATCCCTGGGACCTCCAAGGTTGGCCATGGAGGCACCAGCCGCCTGGGGGGGGAGGCTTAGGCGAGGACTCACGTTCTCCCTCTCGACGCCTCCGTACTTGGCCCGGATGCGGGGTTCACGGACAGTGGCCAGGTTCGTGCCTGTGACCGTCAGGAGGGTCCCTCCGCTAGAATATGAGGGGGGAGAGGTCATGGGAAAAGCTCTGAGCCCCTCTGCCCATGCCCAGCACAAACAGGAGTAGGCCAGACACACTGGCACAGCTCAGCCACACCACCCGGCTCCCCCGAAAGACAGCAAGCAGGCTGAGATCTCTCAGCACCAGTGGTTTGGTGGCAGAACCACACAAAGGAAGCAGAGAATGGAGAGCCCAGCGCAGAGCTGTGTGCGTGACACGGTCCTCAATGGCACAGGGTCCCGGGCTCCGGGTGGGCTGGGGCCACACCCACCTGCTGATGCTCCACTCCGGGTCGATCTTCAGGATGGTGGGGTCTTCGGTGTAGTTGTACTTCACCTCAGGGTTGGTGAGCTGAGCACGATTGATGTTGACTACGATGGGGGCGCTGCCGGGGCTCTGCCCTGGGGGCGTGAGGCACCGGATCTCTCGGGAATTCCTCCTGGAGGGGACGGGGGAGCAGAGAGGACACAGGTGCTGGAGCTCACTGTCAAGGCTCCATCACAAACAGGTGTGTAGGCTAGTTACTGGACGTCCCTGGCATCACCTGCCCGCCCGTAAATGGGGACCTGCCTCCAGGTGGCTGATGGCTGTCATGGTCACCTTACCTGTCAGTCCCCCCATCTGTGCCCATCCTCAGCCCCAGCCTGGCCCTCTCCCTCCACATGACCCTGCTTGGCATTCAAGGCTCTGCCTGATGGACCCGCCCCAGCTGCCTCCCGCACTCATTCCCCAGGTGACCCTGTTGGCCTCTGGCTCTTCTGCAGCGTCAGCTGCCAAGTCTGCCCATGCCTGGACTTGTGTGGTGGGCCCAGCCCAGGCGGGCACTGACAGTGGACCTGCCGGGCAGGAAGGACGCCCACAGGGGCCTCAGCACAGCCCCACGGCAGCCCCATCAGCAGCCGAAAACAGCAGTGGGGACAGAGTTCATGGGCCCCTTCCTGCCTGTGGCAGCACTGCTCCGCTAAGCCTGGGGCTTCCATGTCCTGGGAGAGCCGGAGTGCCAGGCTCGTGCCAACCCCAGCTATGCAGAGGGTTGCACATGCCTCCCCGTCCACACCGTACGCTGGTCTGAACCGTACGCTGAGCCCTGAACAGGCGGAACGCGGTGGCCAGGGGGCGGGGGCAGCGGGTCACTCCCGCTGAGCAGCTGGCCAGTCACGCCTGCACCTGGGTCCCAGTCCCCTCAGCTCCTTCCCCACAGCCAGAGCCGGCAGGCCCGCTCATGTAGCAAGGCTGCAAACACCAATAATTAGTCTGATAACGGGTAATTACTGCAGGAAAATATTTAAAGGGCCGCTCCATTATCATCCCTAATCTAAAATTATCCACTTCGAGTCTCAGAGCTTTTGTTAAGATTCCTTTTCTTCTCTTAAAAAATTTTAAAAAATACTTCTCACTATGTCTGCAAGGGATCCCCCACCCCAGGACAGGGCAGCTGTGCCTGCCCCTCAGCCCCACCTGCCCTGCCCACTCTAGAGGCAGCCTGTCTCCATGGCAACCCTCTGCACCTCGGGGTTTCCACAGTGATCACCCCACCAGGCTCTCCACAGCCCCCTTGTTTCCCAGGCAACGGAAGGGGCACGAAGCCATCTGAACCAGTCATCACCACGGGAAGGCGGCCGTACCCCGGCCCCACTCCCTGTCCACACCCCATACCAGGAAAAGGAGCAGGGCCGGCCGCCGACAGACACAGCCACGTCACTGCCTGCGTTCAGGTGGCTGCCCTCGATGCCAATCCAGGTGCCACCCGAGAGAGGCCCTCGGGCAGGGCTCACACGGTAGAAAGTTGGAGTCTGTAGGAAAAGAAGCTGCTGGAGCTGCAGAGAAGGCTGCCCAGAGGCCCACATGCATCTCCAGCCACCCCAGGCCCTGTGCTCATGGGCTCTCAGACACAGCCCACAGCCAGGGGCCGAGTGCACAGAGGGCCTGGAGTCAGGCCCAGAGAGGAAGAGGGGAGGGCGAGACCAGAGACAGGTAATGCTGGCTGAGAGGCCCACAGGATGGTAAGGGGCCCATCACCTGAGGTGGCCTTTGGGCAGCCAGCCCCTGCATAGCCCAGGTCTCACAGCCCCCTTGGGCCCCAGGGAGGAGAGGGCATCGGGCTGGGTGTGGCTTACCACAAAGGTGAAGCGCTTGGGCGACAGCGCACGGTACTGGGGGGTGCAGTCCCGCACGCACACCTCTACCAGGGCATCGTGGGCCCGCACCGTGCTGGCGTCTCCAATCTCACAGACAATCCTGTGGGGCACCAGGTGGGCCTAAGTGGGCTGTGGCATCCAGCCGGGTGTCGGGGCCTCCCCAACCTGCCTGCCGGCCCCGGGCTGCACTCACTGCTCAGCGCTGATGTACTCGCTCTCCACGGGGCTGCACAGCACCTTGCCCACGCGCACGCCCAGCCGCACGTCCTCGAAGCGCAGACCCAGGTTCTCGCCCGTGATGGTGAGCCGCGTGCCTCCCTGACGGGGGCCCGTCTCAGGGGAGAGCTGTGGGAGGCAGAGGCTGGGACACAGGCAAGGACCTCTCGCGCTGGGAGGGGCCGTGCAAAGGAGGCAGCGGGTGGGTAAGAGGCCCTGCCTGGGCCCGGAAGGCCTGCCCACCTTCAGGATCTTGGGGTCAGTACAGCGGCTGCTGCCATGGCGGGCGTGCATCCAGGCGGCGGGCGAGTCGGCGGGGCAGTGGGGGCGCAGGGAGCAGCGGCGCTCAGCGACGCACCAGCCGCACTCGAAGCGTGGGTCAGCCTTCAGGCAGAGGCCGCAGCTCTCCCGCAGGGCCGGGCACTTGTAGAGGTGGGCTGCGCGGAGGGACACGGTCAGCTCAGCTCGCCACGCCCCACCCCCCTGGGCCGCACACCCCACTCACCCTGGATGTTCTGAGGGTTGTCTATGACAAAGTTGCCGTTCCACACCACCGACAGGTTCACAGGCAAGTCGCTGATGTCATTGCCCTCATAGGAGTACTGCGGGCAGCAGGCAGGGCGGTCAGGTCACGGGGCAGAACTCAGGCTCTGGGGTCGCAGGCCACCCCCCCGGGCAGTAACTCAGGGCCTGCGTGTCTGCCCTGCCACCCCTGGGACAGGCCCCTGGGACCAGGCTTGGCAGGGTGGGGTCTAGGGCTCTGCTTGTCCACACTGGTATTTCCAATCTGGAGCTAGACGCCCCCAGAACCACCTGCCTGCCAACCAGCTGATAAAACTATGCCTCTGCTGCCACCCCCGGCTCCCCCTCGACCCCCCGCCCCTCATAGGGCTTCCTTCCTTATGGCCACAGACCCACTCTCCAGCTAAGCCTCTGTCCCCAGCAGCCACATGAGGCATGGCCTCCAGGACGGCCTCCCCACTTCCCCCTGAAGTCAGCCCCATCAGGAAACCAGGACATCCCAGCTGGACTCCTTGCACATGCGCGAGGGATGCGCTGGGAACCTTGGTTTCTTTGTCCCCACACTGGGACCGCCCTGAGATCCGACACATGTGTCCCCTTGCCCGGGCACAGCCAGCAGGAAGTGCCATCAGGCGAGGCTCTGCCTGCTCCCCACAGGCCGGGCTAAGGGACACAGCCCTCCCCCGGGAGCCCAGGTCTGGTGCTCCCAGCTGTGTCCCACTTTCTGCAGTTGAAGACCTCCACGCCATCCCAGAGGAGTTCATCCGTATTTTATCTGCAGGAGTTTAACTGGGTCCTATCAAATTCCTGATACTCTCCTTTCCCTTTAAACATGGCTGCAGTAAAGATAAATGTGGGCCTGGTGAGAGGGGAGGATGGGAACAGGAGAGGAGTGCAGGGACAGGCGACAGAAGCTAGAGGATGGAGGGAACGAGGAAGCAGAGAGACAGACAGACGACCTCAGCGAGCACAGAGAGGGGAGAGGCTGGAGGCAGCCAGGCCAGGGGAGCCAGAGAGATGCAAGTAGAAGGTGCAGCTGACAGGAGTCGGTGACAGAGCGAGGAGGAGAAAGAGGGAAAGGATGGGACAGACAGGAAGAGTCAGGGAACTCCAGCGCTGCCATGGGTCACAGGGGCCCAGCTGAGGGCCAGCCTGCCCCCGGGAGCCTGCTGTGATCCCCCAGACCCCAGCCCACCCTGCGAGGACACACAAGGGGCTGCCACCACCAGTGGGGGGCAGACCTCTGACCTGAAGGCCCCTCCCCTGGGACTCTAGGGGGTGGCGGCCAAACCCAGGCCTTCAGACAGCCCAGAGGCACCCACTCGCCAATCAGGGATTCGATCAGCCCCGGGAAACCCGCTGCTCTCCCGATGACACTTCTCCTGAACAGGTGGGGAAACCAGAGCTGCCAGCAGCCCCCGAGCGAGCCAGGGGCGAGAGCGGGACCTGAGCCCGGACTGGGGACCACCAGCTCGGCACCACTCGCCCACCCCCTAGGAAAGGACTTGGCTCTGCAATGACCACTGTCACTAAACTTGCTGGACTTGATAAAAGGCTTTTCAAACATTACCCTATTAGATTCCAGGCTCCAGATGTAGCCGCTTCTTGGCGCGCAGGCCACACCCGCCTGCTAGTACACAAACGCCCCAGCTGTGTGAACAGTCCCTACGTCTGCCCACAGGACTTCACGTAAAGTGAGCCGAGTCCCCAGCACTGTCACCTGGCCTTCGCCTCCTGGATGCGCAGGGTGGTGACCACACGCAGGCCTTCGCACACCCTCACCCTGGCCTCCTGGCCCACGTCCTGAAAACCCTGCGCAAAGGCACGTCTCGGGTCCCACCACGTCTGCCTGTGCTGCCTGTCCGCTGCCACATCTGGCATGTGCTCCCTCCAGTCTGGGTGGCCCTTGGCATGGCAGCACCTGCACCCCCAGGCACACCTGAGGGGCGTGGCCCTGGCCCAGGGAGCCCACGTGCTCTCTGAACCATCCAGGGCAGACCTGACCATGCCCTGTCCTTTTGCTAAGAGCAGAAACCAGACCCTAAGGCTTGGAGGGTAACTGGCTCAGTCTAGCACACAGAGTCCCCAGCAGCCCCCACGCTGCACCCGCCTCACCGAGGAGTTCTGGCACTGCAGGCTGGAGCTGTTGAAGCGCAGGGCTGTGACGCGCGCCGGGCTCCCTGGGATGTGGAAAAGGCACTCGTACCCTCGCTGGCCCGACTGCGGCTGCGGCAAGTTCCGAGCGGCCAGGCTGATGGGCTTTACCACGCCCACTGGCACGTAGATCTGGGTGGAGGGCAGGATCTGCGGGCAGTCCTGGGGCGATAAGGCTTCGGTTGAGCCCAGGGGTGGCGCCGTGCATGAGGTGCATCCCACTGTAGCCCAGACCGGGGTCTGTGCGCGGAGCTGTACTTCCCTGGGCAAGTACCACTGTGCCCACCACACTCGCTAGCAGACTGAGGGCCTCAGAACCGCGGCCTGGCGTCTGTGCTCTGCCCGGCTGTGGCTGCATGGGGACCTGCCAGGCCTTCGCCCTGCCCAGCGTTCTGGGACCCCACCGCTCAGCCACCATGGGCCCCATGTGGCCACAGCTGGAAAGGCCCTGGGCTACAAGATCTCAGCCGGGGCCAGGAGCATAAAAATAGCTAGAGTCGGGCAGAAAAACAGCCGGGCTCCTGGGGCTAGCGCTTCAGAGACAATACCTGATGCAACGGGCCAGCTTCCTTGCAGCACGGCGGGTGGCAGCCTCGGGTCGGGGGAGATGGCCACCCGGGATGCCACCGAGGCAGCTTTAAATAGACATGCTGAAAACAGGCCACAATCCCCAAGCCCTGCGACAGCCCCCAGGCGGCCCCGGCTCTGCAGAGGTTTTTGGGGTCTGAAAAGGGGGTCCAAACTCCAGGTTGGCCCCTCGGGGGCACTGGGGGAACAGAGCAGGAAGGGCCTGGCCGGGAAGGCGGACCACTAACCATTGGATCTGCAGGGATGCCCTGTGTCCACCGGGAGAGGCAGGGGATGGTGACACGTACGTAGGGCCACCAGCCATGTGCTCAGGGGTCCGCACTGACACCAGCACTCCCCTGGCCATTTGAAGGGATGCCCAGGCCAGACCCCAAGCCAAGGACACTCCCCTGCCTCCCAGCATGGCTGCCCCTCCTGGGCCCTTGGCAGCCCACGCCTCTTCCAGCCACCAGGCCTTTGCTCTCGCTGTCGCCCCACCTCACACCTCCCCTCTCTGAGCAGATACACCCCCTCTTCCCAAGAGGTCACCGCTGCTGTCTGTCCAAGGGCCTGGGCTCTCTGCCCCCATCAGGCTAGAGTCTCACTGGGGCTAGGGCTTGGCACCTGGGGACCCCAGCTGTGAAGAGGGGTTAGCTCAGGGCTCTGCCGTTCCTTCCAGGCCCGTGTGGCCTGGGAGCAGCTGAGCCAGGAGCCGGCTGCGAGGTGAGCGGCACAGGTATTCAGCAGCACGCAGGGCATACCCCGAAGGGGCCAGCCTCCCCTCGCTTCAAGGGACTCTGGGTCTGTCAAGGGGTTCAAGTCTGTAAGTGACTGAGGGGCCACAACTGTTTTACGATTCAAGTTAGACTTCTGTTCACTGGACTTACAGCTCCTCTGCTTACACAGATCAAGCACGAATCTAGAAGAGTGGCCCTCTCTTTCACCTCCAGGGACACGGCGACCTGCCAGCCCAGGGCCAGTCCCTCCCGGCAATGAGGCTGCGGGGGCGGGGGTGGCAGGAACACGAGCCTTGTGTGGAGACGCCGGCCAGCCCTCCCCACTCCTGGAGAGGCAGACCGGGCACTCCCAGCAGAAAGCCCTGGCTCGTGGGTTCAGCCCACCTCAGAGCGAGTGCAGGCTCTGCTTCGGGGCCCCCACGTGGGACCCCTGCTTGGCCATTCCGTAGGCACCTAGCACCTCCTCACCACCCCTTCCCTAACACACTCTGGTGGCTCCTGCCTTGCACTAGATCGAGCAAATGTGAGAGCACAGGGACAGAGCGAAGAGTAGGGTTCTCACGGACCCCTCCCCATTACAGGGTGGACAGCTGGAGAAAACAGCTGGGACTGGAAACCCAGACGTCGTGGTGTCAGCGTGCTCCTGAGCGAGGCGCACCCCGAGGAGCCAAACCAGACCGAGATGGGAGAGGGCCGAGGGCAAGGCCACGTCCTTCCCAACGACAGGCCTGGTTGAGTCTGAGGATGTGTTACAGTCCTTAGAAAAGGCCCCGTAACACCGGGGACCACAGCTAAGGAGGGAGTGCCTCTGAAATCAGTTCACCCCCCCAAGTGACCCTCCCTCACCCCACGATTGCTCCCAGCCCAGCCCTGCAGGGGCCAACTCCTCGGGAGGGGTCTACGCTGGCTGCTCCACTGCCACAGGCTGCCACAGCCCTTCCTGAGCTCCACGGACCCCGGGCACCAACCCCACTGGGATCAGTCCCACCAGCTTCCTGCCACCCAAGGCCCCTGCCCGCCCCCACGACCCCTTTGCCCAGCTCCTCAGGCAGGCTGCCCTCCCAGGGAGGCCCACTGCCCGCCCCAGGCCCCACTTTCACACTGCCTGCCCACCGGCACAGATGCTACCACCCCAAACGCCACAGTCCCTCGGGCCCTCAGCCTGCCCCCCACTACTGCCTTGCCCCATGATGCGCAATGTCACACCAGGGAGTGGAAAGCAGCTCCACGGTGACACTGCGGTCGTGGCCAGGGGAGGCTGTGAGGAGGGGCCCATAGCATGGCAGCTGCGTCTCCTCTGTCTCAGGCTTGTACAGGGAAGTCCAGCCCAGCTGCAGCCCCCAAGCGCCCGATGGCTGGCAGGACCCACACCCTCCCACCCATCCAGCCAACAAGCATGGTGTCCACTGCCAGGGAAAGGGCCCTGGCTTCAGGTCCCGGCTATGCAGCCGCAGGCTGGACATGGAGAGCCCTGCCCCACCTGGTCGGCTCCCTCTTGGCAGGTCCAGGTTCGCCCGCCCTGGTCCTAAGAGCCTCAGGCTCCAGAAGGAGAGGACTTGCTGTTCATAAATAAAAGTTAGAGCCTCGCCCAAGCCCCAAAATAATCACTGCCTCACTACTACCAATTACCACACAGCCCTCAGACGGCTCCGGAGACCAATGCCGCCTGCAGCCAGTCTGACGAGCCCCTGTCCACGTGGACTCAGGGCACGGGCCTGCACGCTCACCCAGCCAGGCCACTCATGCTCCAGGCTGCCACGGCAACAGGTGGACAGTCCCCTCCCCACATCACGCCCCGCCCCGGGCATCTCTTTGGTCTGCAGCCCCCAAGGAGAGTTCCAGGGGCAGGGGCTGGGTCTGAGGCCTCCCCTGAGAGTCACAGAGGAGATTCGCTGTCCACCAACAAATGCCACTGGGTGACCACAGGCCAAGATGGCCCCGGAGAATGTCCCCAACCCACAGATCTTCTGGCTAGCATCCCAGCCACTCATGGGAGCTCTCGCAGGCCCCACCTACAGGTGACACCCAATTCTGCTGCACCTCCAAAACCCTGAGCCTCCCAGGAAGGCCTTACCTCGGACATGTTGACGCGGCCCTCCAGGAAGGCGCAATCCGCGGCATTGTGCGTGCACACATGGCGGTATTTGCACCAATGGCAGGGGAAGGAGCCGTTGACACATGACAGGCAGCTACAAAGAGAGGGCAGGGCGGTGAGGCCAGGCACCCACACAGGGCCACACTGCCCTGCTGCTGGTCCTCCAGCGGGGGCTCACAGTACCACGTCGGGGCCTTTGCACTGGCTGCTCCTCGTCTGCCCAGGGAGGCCGCCCCTGTCAGTCAGTCCCACCCACCAACCTGCCCAGCACTCCCCTCCCTCCCACTGCTTCTCCTCCAGACCCTCGATCACCTGACAGTCTACCCCAGCGCGGGCCAACAGAACGTTCCCGAGGGCGGACACGCCCAAACTCGGCACGGTCCACTGTGATGACCACTGGCCACGTGCCGACAGTCAGCACTGGACATGTGTTAGCGCCATTATGAAACTGTATTTTCAGCTTCAGATGTGCAGCAGACATCCACTCGTCCCAACGCGGGCCAGGCCAGGGCTTCACAGCACCCCAGTGGGCCCAGCCTCACAGGCTCACACTCCCTGTCCCGGCAGCCGGGTGCCCACAGCTGGGGAGGATGTACCCCTGGCTCCTCTCACAAGCCCCCGACCCACTGGCGCCCTACTTCACCAGAGACTTCCGATCCCCAGCTCTTGAGTGCAGCCCCTGCCCTGAGGCCCCACCTTCCCAGGGCGAGAGATCGAACCTGGTAACACCACCACCCAGGCCCACAGTAGGTGCCCCAGAAAGAGCTGGGACGGAGTCAGTTTGTGAGTCAGTCAACAAACAAAGGCATGACTGAAAAACCAGGCACCTCCAGCTCTGAGGCTGAATTCCACCTCCTGTGAGGGGCCTCCCCACTGCCTCACGCTGGCCCACCAGATGGGGCGCCCTCAGGTCAGGGATGGGGCTGAGGGGGCCCCTCTGGGCACAGTAGGCCCAGCCTCTCCTGCTGTTCCTGAGACAGCATGCTCACAGCCCCAGCTGGTGCAGACGAGCAAACCCAGGGCCAGCGCCAGGGTGAGCTCCTACCCCAGCTCCATGTGCCCCAGCCATGTGCTGGCACGAACCAGAGAGGACCTGGACCCGCCTGTCCCAGAGTGGGAGGAGCTCAGTGGACCATCTCACGGCACAGCCACTTCCCGTCAAGACAACAGAGCCGCCTCCCCGCGAGCTCCCCACCTTGTTCTGGTGCCTACAGGCCATTGCCCACACCATAGCAGCCGGCGAGGCTCTGCACGCGTGAACAAGTGCAGGTCAGCCCTGGAGCAGGCCGCTCAGACTGCTGCCCCGGCCTCAGGCTCACTGGCCCCCTGGCGGCCCTGCCTTTGCTGGCCCCTTGCCTGGTGGGCTGCTCTCACGACGGGTCTCTCCTCCTGCCCCAACCACCCGGCCACACCATGCCATGTCCTCCTCTGCTAGACGCTGGTGCAGGAGGGCCAGGGACACTCACGACTGGTGGACGCTGCAGTTGTAGAAGACGAAGTCCACAGACGCAAACTTCTTGCCCGTCTCCTTGGATTTCAGGTACAGCTTCACCACCCGCTGGTCTCCTGCAGGAGCAGTGCTGGCCCAAGTCACCGGGGCCACCTGGGGCCTCCAAACCCAGGACCCCCGCACAGGGCAAGCTCTGAACAGGGAAAGCCCTCCCAACCACCAAGTGCACAGCCCCGCTCCACACCCCAGCCCCTCCGGCCCCGCGGCCCCTGAGCATACCAGGTGAGCCCCTGCGTCTCTACTCCTGCAGCCCCTTCCTCCTGTCTACACAACCCCCAGACGGGCATCTGCTCCTTCCCCCGCCCTCCTCTGCGGTCACCGCGTGATACCCGTTCAATGACCATCCACCTCCCCATAGGAGGGCTCCCCTAGGTGCTGCCAGACCCAGCCCATGGCGGCACTCACCCTGGCCCCGTGTGATGGGTGCCACTTCTCGAGCAGAGGGCGAGCGACAGTGGACCCGGCCGTCCTCCAGGATACTCTCAGACTCAGTGAAGTCCTCAAAGGAGCAGTTGACCCCGGCCGACAGGTCGGGCACATTCCAGGCCTGCAGCACGAGCTGGGGCCCCCAAGGCAGGACGTGTAGGTGAGTAGGGTCCCGTTGTCCCCCCGGCCCCGCCCCTCGCCTGGACGGCCACACTCACCGGGACCTGGGACATCGTGACGGAAACATTGCGAGGCTGCACAGTCAGCTGCACACACTGCAGCAGGTCTGCAGCAAAGCGCCTGGGCTCAGCTGCCCGCTCACAGGCATCCTGGCGCGAGCAGCTGCGGGCAGAGGCGTGGAGGTCGGGCGTGGTGGGAGGCCACAGGGGTGCCACAGCCCGCCAGTCCCCGCTCAGCAGGGGCAATGGCCTGCCGGCTTCTCTCTGCACCCGTCTTCGCTGCGGTGCAGCCGTCACTCAGCCAGTCACAGGAAACCACCAAACCTGAGCACCCCGCACAGGTAACACCCCGAGGAGCTCAGGGGAGCTGTGCCCATCCCCGGCACGGGAGGCTGCCTGGGCCCTCCCAGGTCAGACACCACCAGGCCAGGGTGTCAGGGCCCTCCCACCCACGCCTACCCCGCTTCAGACTCACATGCTGTGCAGGACACACCAGCCGCAGTGGGGGTCCCGTGATCCCAGGCACAGCTCGCACGATGTGTACTGCACACAACTCTCCACAGGCACCCGCGTCACCTGGTGGGAGAGGGACTTCAGCAGCAGGCCCCACCAGGCCCATCCCTGGGACCCCCGCAAGCCTCACTTACTCACCACCACGGTGTGCCCCCTCACCCCACTCTGTTCTCCCCACACACCAGGGAGCTTGCCTCCCACTTGGTCTGTGCAAAGACCAGTCCCTAGGTGACCCTGACTCAGCCAAGTCAGGCCAAGCAGGCTAGGCCTCTCTCCTGGGAGCCTGGGGTGGCAGCGGCCAGGGAGCAAGCCAGTCAGTGCGGGTGAGCTGCCCAGAGAAGAACCAACAGGTCCCACTGGTTGCTCTCCCAGCTGTCTGGTCTCAGAGCTTCCGGAGGGAGCCATAAACTCGGCCCCAATCCTAAGCACAAAGGCAGGCTGGGCCCCACGTACCCTGACCTTGCCTCCTCAGCCCTGAGGTCCCCAGAGAGGCAGAACCACCCAACAGATAGGAGAGGGGCAGAGGAGAAGCAAGAGGAGCCAGGACGGTAGGGAGGCCTGGCCTCGCCAGATGTGTGCCCCTCCTGCCCCCAACACGCCCACCCTCCCGACTGCCATGGGGTCACAGGTCGAGCTGGGCAAAAGCTGGCTCCAAGCAGGCTAGGCCAGAAACACAAGTGTATGGCATTAATGAGCTCGGCCAGGCTGGCCACAGGCCCCAGAGAGGCTGCTGCCTGAGCCCCCACCAGGCAGACAAGGCCAACACCAGGCCAGGCCGCAGCCTGAGAACTTGGGGCCCCATGTGCACGTCCCAGATCCTGCAATGACACCACTACCCAGATAACGCTCTCACTCCAGTATTTATTCTGGTGGACACAGTCATTCAGGGAGGGAGGGAATTCCAAACCTGGCCCAGAAGAACCCAGAGGCAGTGTGGGCCCACAGTAGCCTCACCCTGCTCCCAGGGCAGGCCCACCCCACATGTGTCTGGCAGCGCAGCACCTACCTGCCTTTCCGTCATGGCATAGAGGTACTGGCGGTCAGGGCTGAGGACCAGGTCACGCAGGATGGGGCTGCCCTCTTGAGCCACCACACTCTCATAGGCCAGGGCTGGCCGGCCACCAGGGTTCGCCAGGTCCACCAGGATCTGTGGCAATGAGGTCCTGAGTAGAGCTGTGCCATGCCCTTCTGCTCCAGCCCCACACCCTCTTAAGGTCAGGGATCCAGAGCCCCTTCCCAGCCGCTCCCCCAGGCCCTGCAAGAACATGGCCACGGCCGCCCCCCTCGGCAGCTGTGCAGGACCGCCTGCAGCCTAGTGGCTGGGCCTGCTAGTCCCTTCGTCAGACCACAGAGGCCACTGTACAGGGTGGGGGGCTCTGGAGTCTGGAGACAACCACAGGCTCCCCACCCTCAGAGATGCACAGTGACCCCAGGGCAAAGGTGGCAGGCACCCACCCTCCCTGGGCACAGCTGGGTCTCCCAGAGGGACAGTGCAGGGTCGGCAGGGACAGGCAGCAGGGATCAGCCGGCAGGATGGGATGTCCAGTGCCCCTGAGCAGCGAGACCAGAGCCTCCAGGGAGGGAGGTGGCAGAGTACGAGGCCGGCGAGCCCCAGGGCAGCCTGGAGTCAGGGTACCCCCCACCCCCAAGAAGGCAGCAGAGGAGGATGTGCGTCTCATCGGCATGGAAATATATTCCAGATCCCAAACAAACCGGGCGTTAATTAGCCAGCTCCTCTCCTCCACAGCTTGCAAGGCTGCAAGTATTTTTAGTTGCTTTTACCAAACAAATGTATTTAATTAACAGAGAGACCCAGGGGCCTTTCCAGAGATGGGACTCGTGGGGCGTCCGCCCAGCTCAGCCGGGCGGGCCGGCTCCCAGGGCAGGGCGGCTGGCCCTGCTCAAGCCCTCCCCTCTCTGGCTAGAACCAGGCGGCCAGCCCACCCTCCATCTCCATGGTGGGGGCGAGGGCTGGGGCTAGGGCTCAGCTCAGACGCCTCCTTTGCACCCCCACACTGATGGGCCAGGGCAGGTCTGCCAGGCTGAGGAGGGCTGCGGGGCCAGGCAAAAGGCCCTGGCTCCACCGCTCCAAGAGGGGCCGGGCAAGGCGGCCAGCCAGGGTGGGGCGCTGCGTCTCCGGGCCAGAAGCTGCCGGCTGCGAGAGAGGGGGAGGGCCGCATTCCTGAGCGCCCGCGGCCACCCCCCACATCCGCTCAGCTGCCTCCCCGCCAGGCAGGCAGGCTTAAGTCAAACCAGACCCGGAAGAGCTGAACCCAGCGCTGGGCAGGGGGAGGCGGCCCTGGGCTGGGCCCATAGCGGCCCAAAAGGCTCCAGCCCCCAGCCTCTGGGAGGAGTGCTGCCAGGCGAGGGGCTACAAGAGCCCAGCGTCAGCGCCCCTGCAGGTGGGGCCTGGATGGGACCCCAGCCTGCACCCAGACAACTCCACACACCTCCTGCCCTGCTTGGGTGGGCAGCCTGCGGGCAGGTGCTACTCACAGGGAGCCCAGGGTCAGCTCCTGAGCCAGCAGGGACCAGGCAGGACATCAGCCACATGAGAGCGCTAAAGAGGCTAGGAGTCCAGCCTCTGGATCCACACTGCCTGGGCCCAAGCCCTGGCTCAGACCCCCTCCCCCCACCCCCACTCCCACCCCTGCCCAGCTGTATAACCCTAGTCAGGTACTGAACCTCTCTCTGTCTTAGTTTCCCTACCTGTCAAATAGGGACGACAGACAGTGCTCCCTACACCAAAGCTGTCCTGAGGATTAAATAAGGACCAAGCCAGTCTCCCAAGCAGGGGGACACAGGCTGGCCAGGCCTCAGAGTAGTCACCAAACCTCAGGAGCGAGTCACAGAGACCCGGCAAGGCCAGCCTGGACAGCAGCCAGGGAGCTGGGCACAGGAGGGCAGGGCCTAGGTGGCAGGCTGGGGCACCAGTGGGGACTCAGAGCTCCAGACCCAGTCTCAACCCAAATGACCCAAATCAGGACTTGGGATTTCTCCCCAAGCCCTGGCCTTCACCTGCCCCCACCCCTGCAGATGCCCCCTGCAGTGGCCAGAAGCCCAGGCCCGACCCCATCCTGCCCGGCGCCAAGTCTACGGCCCCTCCTCCCATGCCCCCAGCCTGGCCTCTCTGACCTCAGGACACCTGCCCCTAGGGCCTTGACAAGGGGCATTCTGGAGGTGTCACCTGAACAGGGACAGTTGAGGGGCCACAGCCTCTCCCACTCTGACAATGAGGGGCCATGCAGTGCCAGTCCTGACTCCTGCAGGTCAGGCCTACTGTGCCCCTCCCCACTTAGAGATGAGGGTATGGGCTGGGCATGGATGTCACATCAAGGAACACCCCCACCCAACAGGTGACAGGGGAAATGTTACAGGGAAGGTCACACCCGGGTACACCAGCTCTGAGGCGTGGCAGGGGGCGGCAGAGAGCAAGCCTCTGGGGTCCTAGGGAAGGTGAGAGGGGGAGGCGGCCAGCCCTGGGCTCTGGAATGCCTCTACCCCAGGGCCGGCAGCATGCCGACTCCAACAGGTGGCACCCAACAGCTGCAGTGGTCCAGCTGTCCGTCTGCCATGCACATCTGTCCACCCACCTGCCCGGCACTGGGCAGCCCCCAGCTCCTAAACACACACAGGCAGGCCCCAGGCAGAGGTAGAGGGGGCGTTTCTGAAGGGCACAGAACCAGCAGGGGCTTTCGGGAGGCATGGCCCACAGGCCAGCGGGGGGATGTGACGTGGATGACAGGCTCCCTGCCATGTGCTGAGTAGCCACGGTCCAGACTCAGCAGGGCCACCTGTATGCACACACGGGACTGTAGGGGGGCATCTGGCTGGGAATGACCAGTCCCTGGGACATGCCTGCTGTGTCCCGGACAGTTTTCAGGCTATAGGGCCCATGCAGTACACATAGGTAAACTGAGGCTCATAAGGGCCTGCCAGAGGAACCCAGGGCCCTGGACTGCCAGCTGCACCTGGGGACACAGAGTCTGCCCCCAGAGTGGGAGCAGGGCTGCAGCATGCCACCAGGAGGGCAGTCCTGGGAGAAGGGGCGCACAGGGCGGCACAGGGCCAGGCAGCTGGCAGGAGAGCGAGACATGCCGGGGCAGTGCGTGTGCTGATGCCACACTCCGGCCCTCAGCTGTCCATTTGAGGGCCACCCACCTGGAGGCAGCTCACCCTCGGGCAGCCGCATCTACAGAGCGCACAGGAGATTCTCCCGTCCCCAGTATCCTCTCCCCACCTCCAGCATCAGCTCTGTGCCCTGGAAACCTTTCCCCGAAGACCACCACAACCCTCCATGGCTGCCCACCATCGGCCTTGACTGCTCTCCTTCCCACCTCTCACATTCCATAACTTCAAGGCCCAAACCCAGCCATGATCACAGAGGTCCCTCTGCTATGGTGCCCTTCCCCACATCGGCTGAGAAAGGACCCCCTCCAACCAGGTGGCTTGAGTGGAGCTGGCCAGCCTCCCTGAGCATGCCTCTCAGGTTGTGCTGGGCCCAGGCACACACCTACCCATGGCTATGGCCTAGAGGGACCCAGCCACCCCTACCCAGCCTCTGTCCAGGCCCCCCAGTTCTGCCCACTTCTCTGCCCTGAGGTCCTCCCTACCCCTCTGTACACTGGGGAGTCCCCAGGATTCTTAGCTGAGGCACAAGGGTTGGCAGCACCCCCAGGGAGGGGCTGGGCCCCAACAGACTGTCGGTGCAAGCGCCTGAGAAGGTGCTGACAGTCTGCCGGACACCTACCACCCCCATGGGGCATCGCATGCCCCTCCCCACAGATGGGCTAGGGAACATGTTTACCCTTTCACCCCCAGGCCAGCAGGCCCCTGGGGCCTAGGATACATCAGGTGGGGGCCCTAGAGAGGGACCCCTGCTCAAGACCAAGAGGAGGTGGCCAGCAATAGGTGGGCAGCCCCTGGCCCTGGGAGGCCTGAGTCCCAGGCTAGCCCAGCTGGCTGCCCCTGCACCCATCACCGCACAGCCCTGGCCAACTGCTGCGGGCAGGCAGCTGACGGCCCAGCCAGGTCAGCTGTCCGTCCAGAGCCAACAAAGAGCCCATTCTCCGGGCAGAGGGCGGGCGGGGGTGCCGGGGAGGATGTCTGGGCCATCCAGGCTGCTTGCCAAGGCCGGCACGCGCCCTAGCCACCCGGAGGCAGGGGGCTGCCCAGCTTGGCCCCGACTCGGGAGGGAAAAGAGTTCCCTGCTCTGCCCACCCCAAGACGGCAGCCCGCATGTCCCTACCTGGGAAGTGAAGGTGCACTGGCTGAGCTGACTTTTGGTCTCTAGCTGGGGGTGGGCGTGGGGAGGAGGAGGACAGGACTGGGGGTGGGGAACAGGCAGAGGACAGGGGGCAGCAGCCAGCAAGCGAGCTGGCCACGGTGCTGGGGCCTCACAGCCTCCCTGCTTTGAACAGATGCAGCTGCCAAGCCTGGTCCCAGCCCTGGGAGGCAGGGTGGTCCTGGAAGGGGCTGCATGAGGGGCAGGAAACTTGGCTGCCCTCTCTGTGCGGGACCCTGAAGGGGCACGGAGCCCGTCCTCCCCTCTCCTTCCTGGTCAGGGCCCAAGGCTGAGACGCCCACGGACCCAGCTCCCAGACTCCTCTGCCTCCCATCACGGGCTGCCGCAGGACCCCCTCCTCTGGCTGGGGGCAGGTTCCAGGGCCCTTCCTGGGGCCCTTCTCAGAAAGGCCAAGAGGAATTTGATACTGGAAAAGCAATTAGCAACTTCCTCTTGGCACTAATTGGATAATTAAAACATGATCTGTAGGAGGCCCAAAGGATATAACTGGGCCAGACACACCTGGTGAGGTGGGGAGGGGTCCCAAGAATCTCTTCCCTCCCACACCCGACCCTCAACACAGACAGAAGAGAGCAGAGACCAACCCGCACAAGCACTGGTCCCCTCTGAGCCTTGGTCTCCTCATCTGCTGACAGACAGCCGCCTCACAGGGCTGCATGGGAATTCAGCAGCTTGCTGTTCCAAAAGTGGGGAGGCTGCTTGGAAGCTGCCTGGAGTCTGGGCCCTGAAGGCCAGATCTGGTCATGAGGCAGAGATGCCCAGCTGCCCCAGGGAATCTGCCCACTGCTGTGGAGGCTCACAAAGCTGGGCCTTCCGTCCCACGTCCCTGACTGGGACTGTCC